GGTCTCTTAAGCAAAGGTTACAGATTGGAATTCATCCGTCGATCATCCTGTTCTCTGAACTGAATTATAGGTACTTCGTACTTCGGGTCTTACTGCGACTATCATACCTGTCCGGGCTACTGTAGAATAAGTAATAACCAAGTATCTACCTACCTTAGGACCAGACCGTTATCGTGTTCCTCATACTCCTCCTACTACTTACTACCTTCCCCCCTCCATCTCCTTCCAGGAACACTCTCGGCTTTCTACCCTCTACCCTCCTTCAGACATCAACATTCTTCCCTTCTCCCCTCATCATCCTCTTTTCTTTCCATTCTCTCTGGCTTGGGTCGATGATAATACAATATAAGACTTTCCCTTCTTGACCTCTGCGGTGCTAATTAAGTCTTCTCTCTCCACTCCTGATACTGTCGTTCTCGCATCGCCTCTCAACTACTACCTTCCGACTTCTTCCTCTTCTCCCCCATCGGCAAGCAAAGCTGTACAACCTCGCTGCGGGGGGTCGTTCAACATACCCTTCACCATTGGCCCCGTCTCACTCGCAACTCCACTAGTTCAACTCCTTCCCATTCAGCCAGCGCACCCATTGGCGAGCAGTGTCAGGTCGACAGCCAACCTTGCTCAACCCCCCGATTCAAATCATGTCACGGTCTCGTCTGCCACCGACACCCGCTATGTCTGGGGAGCTCACCATCAAGGAGCAGTCCTCGGTGGATGCGGCAGACACCTTCGCTCTGCCCCCTGCTGCCTTGAGCCCTGTTCGCATGGTCGCTGCCAGCCGAAGGTCCTCCAAGTCGGATCCTGCTCTCTGCTTTCCTGCGTCCCCTGCCTCGCCTAAGACAGCCATCAGCAGCATGACCAACTCGCCGCGTCAGACAGGGACCAAGAGACCCCTGGAAGAATTTAATCTGCCACCACCGCCGACCCGCACCCGCAAGATCATCCAGATGAAGCCCAAGGCCCAGAACCAGCCCAAGCCCGCCGCGCCGCCCAGCAACAAGGCCTCCATGAAAGACAGCGCCAGCAAGGCCGCTGCCAACAATGCAGCTGCGTCGAATCCTAAGAAGAAACAGCCCAGCGCCACAAGCGCCGCCGGTCGGAAGATTGCGCGGAAGACAGCACACAGCTTGATCGAGCGCCGGCGGAGATCGAAGATGAATGAGGAGTTCGCTACCCTGAAAGACATGATCCCCGCCTGTCAGGGACAGGATATGCATAAGCTCGCTATCTTGCAGGTGTGTTCCTGTTGCCCTTTCGCCCGATTTTCGATCCCTGTTTTCTGATCGCTAATGATCCCCGGTGTACCTAGGCAAGCATCGATTACGTCAACTACCTGGAGCAATGTATATTAGATCTGAAGACCGCGGGTGGTCCTGCAACAAGAGTCTCTCCGTCCATGGCGCCGGCTCCACCCTCTCCAGCATCCCCGGAGGCTCTTGGGGAGGAGTCAGGGCTTTCATCCTCGGCTTCTGTGTCTCCCGAACTTCTCCCGACTGATTCCTCGGCCTCTAATGCGACCTCCCCGATCTTTTCTGCACAGATCCCGACGCCTGCTTTCGGATCAGTTCCTGACTTTCGACATTCGTTCGCAACATTCTCTGCCTCAGAGCCAGTCCAGCCCACCGCCCCAGAGACGTCCCGCTCGGCACGTGGCTCGTGGGCGGCATCAGCCAGTACCTCCCCGGGCCTGCCACCGCAGTACGCCATGGCGCCTCCGGCCGATGTCGACCATGAAGCGTCGGCTGCCTTGCTCATGCTGAACCGTGACTGTCGGGGATCCGTTGGCTCGGTCCACGACGCGCAGGCGCCTCCTGTCCCTATCGCGCAGAGGGAAGACCACAGCCAGGGGCAAGATCCGCAAAAGAAACTGGGCATGAGTGTGAAAGATCTACTCATATCCTGAGCTCTGTATTTCTAACATTTTGTTCATGGCGTAAAAAGGTCGGTACGTGGTTGGGCGTGTGGATAAGCGTTGTTCAAACAAAGCAGAGAGAGGACCGGATTGGCGTTTTTTGGGCGGGATAACATGTTGCGGGTTTGTTCTATATATGCAGGCTGGACCAGTATAAGTAATGATGACGTTCTGAATGATTAGTTGATATGGCAGGCTGACTGAGTGAGCCGAGCCTGTTCTGGATAGGGTTCAATCCTCATCCGCCAGCGATGATCTAGATATACCCATAAGCAAGCTGTGAATCGCTTCAATCCACCACCCAAGAGAGAAAAGTAGCGATCGAACAAGGTCGTAGAAACGATTAGACGAAGTCGAGATAAAGCACAAACTTCAAGATTATTCACTGCAGTAGTACTAGCCATGATGTATCAAAGTGGTCCCGTCCCCGTCCGTGAAGTCCCTCTCCGCTAGCCCCACAAGGCCAATCAAGCATTGCACCCGTCCCCACCCTTCTTCAGCGACGATAAGAAGCCGAAGCAGAGATCCGACCCGCGATGCTCGCCAAAACCAAGACAGCACCTGATCCCTGGCCCTGGTCACTGGCCCCTAACCCCTTAGCGAAGAATGCGACAATAGCGCAACCCTGCAGGTTACCTAGCATAGAGTCACTTGACCAGCCGCGGCCCGCCCAGCCGACCCAGTCAGCCCTCCCCCCACGGGGGCATCAAATTCTCGGAGTGGATTACACCGCACTGCACCTATTGTGCATTACACAAACCAATTCCTGCCACCAACGAGAGACTAAGAAAGAAAGGGTCTCGACCCTGAGTCACAGGTGGCCTTCTGCAAAAGCTGCATGCGATCCAGTCCGGGGCCCAGCAGGAGCAGGTCGCTCGGAAAAAGGGTTTCTGATACTGTACTGTAACCCCGCGGTCAAATTCTGTTGCATGTTGTGCGTGCATGCCGTGTGTGGCGTGGCGTGAAGTGGGCGGGTTTGTTCTGGTTTGTTCTGGATAGCTTCTAGTCTGAAGGCCTTTTTTTTTGAGAGTTAACTCATGTGTACGTGTGATTGTGTGTGACCTCGATGGGTGCATAGAAGGTTAGGTTAGAGGGGGAGGGACGAGGGCCGGAAATAATCCGATGCTTTGTTTTGCTTCTCTACTTACACTTTGTTAGTCCTACCTAAATGTCAGATTATCGCCCTACCATTTATGTTCAATTCACAGACGCAAAGTAAGCCTGCCCTAATATGACCCGGTCTGGCAACGGGCACAAATAGTCGTCAAACCCAACCGGCCCATTTTTTGTTTAAGAAACATACCATGCATTCCACACATTCTGCAGGGGTCTCACGGGTTCTCTGCACAGGGTCTCGGCACAACCTGGAACATACCCTTGGCACTTCGCTTTCCAAGTGTGTGGTTTTCGGGGGCCATCATCTTGTTTGAGCAAATGAGTATGCGTCGAGGTTTGTTCCACGGCGTTGACCGTTATTTTGAATGAGAATGAAAATCCTTGGCGCGAATCGTTCGGCTGGTCCTGCTGCACCTTGAGTCGCCGAGATCTCTTGGCCCTGGGTTGATCGATGCTGGAATACGGGGGAAGGACGAAGGACCCTAGGGTTGGTTGAGAACCTGGTTCATGGCACAGGTGTGTGTGTGTGCATGCATTAACTAAGTCAATGCGGATATCGCCCACTTTTTCTTCTTCCTAGATAAGCATTTGGGATTGGCCTGTGCGTGAGACAATTGCTTTTGTACCCACAGGGAAGGTAGGGTAGGTCAATGGCAAAGGCAATGCTCGGCGATCAGGAAAGACACAGGCCGCTTTACTCTACTCGGTAGTTACGGTTCCGCTCATGAAAAGATGCTGTAGATTGCAATGGGTTGTTGTAATATCGACTCGGTTGTATATATGTGTACGTAGCAGGGCAAAAAAAGAGTTTTTTGGTTGACCTACTTTGGGCCTGACCGCGGAAATACTCTGGCGCCTCTCACCGTTTAAGTTATGGTTTGTGCTTTGGCGAAGCGAGGATCTACAATCGTGGAAATCCATCGAGGGCGCCCGCACCCGACTTTTCGTAAGATGACGTGGGTGGGCGAACCATGAGCCAGCCAGGCGATTACTTAGTAATTCCGTTCGGTACGGAGTAGTCAGTTGTTCAAAACTAGGTGGGTTGTTCTTGATACCACAAAACTGCAAAGAAGGAAAAGACGAACGGAGCAGAGTTGGTCAACCTCGACAAATCTTTGACGCTGACCAGTCTCATTCTCTTTTTGCAGATCGCCATGGTAATACTACATTGTATGCAGCAGGAGGCAGGGTCAGATTATCATTCTTCCTGGGAAAGTAGTAGTTCCCCCTTTAAGTTAGTTTTAGCATCTACTAGTGTGGTCCTTGGCCCATTCCGTGATGTGCAAGACTAGACGGACTGGTGACTCCCCGCCCGAGTCCCGTGGTCCGTCCCAAGCATCGTATATATTCATCCGTTTACCCCCCTCCCCCCTGTTGATCGCTCTCATTCTTCAGTAACCTGATCCATGGCCTCGGAAGTCATCCCCTCGCCAATCCCGCGTCATTCCAGCATCTCAAACTCATCATGTCGAGCAAGTTCCCTTCCCAACAGCGCAAGAAGAATGCCCGGTCCATTGCCTCGGAGGACCCCTGGAAGGTCGACACTCCCTTCGGTCCGCCGCGCATCTCCCACTCCCCCAGCAGCAAGATCAGTCGCATTCGCAGCACATTACAAAAGTTCTCCCCCTCCGCCCGGGCCGAGAAGGAACTCCTCAAGCAGAAGAACCGATACAAGATCCCCCTGACCGAGCGCAACGTCGACGCTTTCGTGACGGAGCAACTGGTCACCGATGCCTGTCATCCGGGCCAACATTCGCCAGAATTGCAGATCTCGGCTTGGCTGGAGCAACTGTCATACTGAGAGGATGGGAATGGTTGACGCCTCGTACGGTAAGGGGGCTCACATTGTTACAACCTGCTTTGCTGGGGCTCTCTTTGTGCCCCAGCCCCCACACTATCTCGATTGTCTCTCCACGTCCTTGGGTCGATCGATACAGGCACAAACCCCATCAACGACCGCGCCAACCCAACGCCACGAATGCAATATGAAGTCTTGCACCCACATCGGTCTCTTGGCAATTAGAAGAGATATGATATCTCCTCATTTTCGACCCTAATTGCAAAAGGACAAGACGGGACAACCCCAGAAGATAGTCTATCTATGCATGGCATTGGTGCCGAGAAAGGACCCTTGCCCGAGGGTCAACGTCATTCCTCTGGGCGCCGAGCCGCGCCCGGCCCCCGCCAAGTATGCAGGTGTCAACATCCATGCATTTCCGTGTGTGGGGTGCCGTCCAACAATCCCTACTAGGTAGCCTCTTCGCATCTGATCTCTTTCCAATCATCCATCCTTGGTTGGGGGATTCTGTGGAGTTGAGCATAGTTGTGGTTGGTCCCACGTTGTTTATGGTGGCTACTGGCATGGCCTTCTACTTTCACTCCCCTACTCTTGGTGGAGTATTATCTTTAACTGTAATACTACTTCTCTTTTGTTTGGGCCTCATTGTTGGTTATCATGGGCCTTTCTCCAGTTTTGAGCTGCATGATTCCCCTGCCTGGACGAGATCGCTGGTTATCCTAAGCGACAAGCGATTTGGTCACTTGGAAGACAGCATTCATTCGCGAGGTGCATGGAGTTCGGCTGATCATTGTGGTCTACCTTTGATATTTCTGTTTAGTTTTTGCCAGGCTTGCTGTGTTCTATTGGCACCTGGACTGCATTACACTTGGGCTTTATGCTCGATAATCAATCTACACCAAATCTCTGGAAATGAACCTTCTACCTATTCTAGAATCATGGCACTCTTGTCTACTTTGCTGACCAAGGATAGGGAGCTAGCCGACCGACTCCTCTACCCAGGTCGAGCTTCATCAAGAGGTCAAATTCTACAACTGCTTGGTGGCTGAGTCTAAGAATTGTGTGCATATCGGCCAAGGTGAATGGTCTAGTACACATGGACAAGAGTGAATCTCCTCCATGGACCTGATGCAGAAACAACTGTGAATCTCCTTTCCATTATGGAAGCCCGGCCACATTAGTGAAAGGTTTGTACCAGAAGAGTTGTGAATGGATGGCTATTGTTCATGATGAATGGTTCTTTTCTTCCAGCCTTCGCCTACTTAATCCTCTTCCTCTTCCTCTTCCTCTACTCATCCACCTCCAAATTTTTCCTTTCTTCCTCCACTCCACTCGACCCACTCTTCTCCCTTCCTCCCACACCAACGCACCTCATCATATCCAGCCCTTGACAGAGTAGAGCATTCTTATTTAAGCCTAATTCTTATCAACTATACAACAACCAACGAAGCACCATCCACCAGTCCAGCCCACAACCCCAAGCCACACCAACTTCAAGAACCAAATACCATTAGAGGAAGATGACTGCCCAACTTGAAAACGAAGTTTCATGCTTTGTGGGCCGTCAGGGTCATGTCCGCTGCCTAAGCCTACTGCTCCAGTGATCTGCTACACTTACCGAACGTGAGTCAACCTTAACCTACTTCCAGAACAAGACTTACCCCTCGCACACCGCCCAGTCAATGACAAGATCCAGTGGCTTTCCTCGTCTTCATGGTAGAAGGTTATGTATCCTTCTATGTACCTTGCAAGAAGGCAGATACAGAGAACACTGATCGTGGCAGAAGTTGCTGGCTCGTGGGATGCTATACGCAACTGGGACTTGGTGGCTGATAGCTTCTAGCACTACACTCGCTGCAGGCGCGCTGTGTGCCATCCGTTTTGTACAGCATGGTGTACTTCTTGCCCTGCTAGGAAGACGATCAGACCTCAAATATTTGGTCTTGGCTTCTTTTTATGCCCTCCATTTCTGTTCATGAACGGTTCTGTGGTTTAGCAACCCTGGGGGTGGCCTACTGCTGACCTACTGCTATTCCTTTCTGCGGCCCGGATACCAAACGTCCGGTTGCTGTTCACCACATTCAGCGTCTGGAGGATTTCTCTCTCTCAAGGTGTTGCAACAAGGCATCATGAGGTCTGACACTCCTGACACTTAATGATATTCTTAACAACTGAGTCGTGGGCAGCAAAAGTCATTTCGACCAATAACAACAACAAAATATAAAGAAGATATCTAGCAGACCCGTTCATATGTGCGGTTTATCTGTCGCGCTCTCCGTGTCTACCATTGGGCTGAGGGCACTCGTTATGTAAGTTGCATGCCTTCCACTTCGAAACCCTTCTTTCTGGTCCCTCAGATCGCTAACGGTATTAGTTCGCTTCTTCAAATCTCAGTTCTTGGGTTGACACACGCCATAAAAGTATCTTATGGCCGAGACGCGGCAGCTTTGGATTTGATCGTCGTGGCGAGCAACGGCGTGTAAGCAGCATACGTGGGAAGTCCTTTCTGCGAGGTACAAAAAGCTAAACGGTCTATAGAGAAATGCCTGCGCTCGCCACAGGGCGCGGTTTAAGTATGGCTTCGAGGCTGCAACTGATAATCTCATCAGCCCTTAACCGGCAGTGACTCGGGTGACTCGAGTGACCCTCCGTGCACCCTTATACGCGTTATCATCACTACTCTGAGGCCGCACATCAGGCGTTCGCAGCGCTGAGGCGGGTTTTCTACAGAATCCGCAAAGAAGTTGGAGAAGAGCCGCCTCCCCACATTCGTCGTAGACTGTGGAGCTTACATCTCAGATTATCTGTCGCAGCTTCGATGGCTGTCTCTGCTGCTGCTTCTGCCTGATCTTCTGGAACCAGGCTAATTTGGTCAAGATCGAACCGGTTTTGAATAATCGTACCCCGCAAACAGACCAAGCTTTCAGAATTCGCGCTGCGCGACTTCTAATCCGGTTTGGCAACGCCTTGGGAAAAGAAGAGTACACCAACGTCTTGGAAGCTTATACTTATCGAGTATCTATGGATGGAAACCAAACTTATTTCAGAACAGGCCATATTCAGATACCGATTCAAAGATTTGATTGGTACCATTGCAGCTGATCTTTGGGGGACAGTAAGTCGTCCACTCCCACCTTGACGCAGCCGATTGCTAACCTCATTAAGTAAAGTATTCTTGGAGGACGGTGACCAGGCTTGGCTTATATTCGGAAAACCGACTGCGGATTACCCTGCGTACCTATCACACGGCACGCCTAATCGAGATGCGGAACTAGAAATGACTACGTATGGCCCTTACCGCTTGGATGTGGATAAAGATATTGAGCTACGTAGCTGAGGTAGGTATGCTGTGAGTAATTCCAAGTACTCAAAGCTATGGTGGTTACGACTAATTTTGAACATAGCATCCATCTCTGGTTTTTCATCAGAGCTAAGCCACATGTCTAATATCTATGCCGGCGATCTTATTCCCTAATTCGTGACAATCAAAAGTCACGACGCTAACCACCCCGCTCCGAACAAGGACTTGCTCGCAGTGCATGCAGCAGTTGGAAATATCCTGCACGCCTTTAGACATAGCGAATCGATTGAAAAGACCCTCAAGCACATCGAAGATGGTGCTGGCAACATTCTTGTTCCAGACGGGAGCATTGTGTGGTCCCTTCAAGGCTATAATAGCTTTCCAAACCTCGACGTATATGAGAGCTCAAGATTGATTCTGATATAATCTGACAGATGACGAAGTATTGCAATGCCGAACGCAATCCCCATGCGTACTTGTATCCTCGAATTCCAGGATATTGGGGAGGAAGCGCGCGGCTTACTGTTCTACCAGCAGACTTGCCGTCTGCGTATGAGGCCGAACTATCAAGCCTTGGCCACAAAGCCGGACTCACTTCCGATTTCTACAGAATTCTGACGCATACGCATGTTGCAACATTTTCGAAAAGAGCCGAGTCCTGGGTGTCTTTAGTCAGACCTAAAACATCAAGCTCGCGCATGCGGTATGTCTAAGAGAACATAGTCGATCTCAGGCGATGTCCATGGCAGACAGTCGCCTTTTGCTTTTGATCTCAACTCATGCAGTCGATATCAAAGGGAGATCAGAACCCGCTGATGACATAGACCACACTCTCCTGAATTGAGATATAGGACTCACTCATGATTCAGAATCAGAGACTCTACTGCTCTGCAAACATTGCAAAGAAGCAAAACCCCCCAAAATAAGTACGAATGCCATGAAGAGCTGTACGCAACTGCGCGGCTTATTCTAGTCGGAAACACGAATTACCTTCCCCTGAGACGCCTGTAATGCGGGTACAGATAGGACTGGATGACCAACGACTTCAATAAGCTCATAAAAGAGAGATCCTTCCAGAGACATCTGAATACGGAGCAGAATCAGTCTTCAATCTGCTTATTGCGTATGGCTTCAATGTTCTGAAATGGATATGCCATCTGCCGGTCTCAACGGGATGCATTGACAACTCTTAGATCGAGCTCGCTTTGGTATTATTGGGTCCGTTGCACCGGGGTCGGCCAATTGGTCACAGGCTTGGACATCCGCGTTCAGAGTCAGGAGATATAACCGGGTAAGACTGAAATTCAGGACATGGCATTGAGCGCATCGTTTGCTTGAATGTGCAGCTGAAGTGACATCATCAATGAAGCAGTTGCTGCTGGGGATCTGCCGATGGCACTAGCCAGATCATCCCAGACCAGACCATTTTCATTTTGAGGAGTTAGGCTGCCCTGACAATAGAGGAGCCAACCGTGAAACATGAGATGGTCTATGGGATGTTGTCCGATCAATTTTACAGCGATATGACTGCTATGAGAGTCCCAGGTCAGTAAATGACCAGGACGTGGTGATGAAGGCTGTTTCTGGTGAGGTTAGGGCTAAAGCCTCTGCCTTGAAGCAATCTCTCCCCGCATCCCCCGATCCATCCTGAAGGTCAGCAATGTCCCGGACGTCAAGATGAAAGACGTTTTCTTTTCGGTGGACAATGACGAGACTGTGTATGAATCAGCGCGGTGAACAGACGAACGAGCTATCGAGATAAACCGCTATGGCTCTCTCATCGGAATGAGTTCTTTTCTTCCATGAAGCTTCCTGAGCACACGATGCACCTGATAAGCTTCGCGGATCGCAACTTATGGTGCAAAGACAAGAAAAAGATTGATCAGACCCCTGCCAAACCTACCTATAAGGCGAAAAGGGATGCATTTGTCGGAGAATTGGATCAACTGGAGTATGAGGCTTGGGTTCTTCTAACCTTCACATTAGTTTTTACATCTGTAAAGTATCCACTGTGGACCACTGGCTACTTCATCGCTTAGTCTCATTCTCCAGGCTACTTCGCGATGTCATGGGCGCTTTCGCTTGGTTGGGCAAATCATGAGTTGCCTCTGAGAAATTAAGCCATCATCTTTGTTATGCCTTCATCTACACTATGCTATCGGAAATGACTGATCTCCTTCTACTGCATCCTCGATTTTTCGTGTTTGTTCGCCACTTCGAAACATGCCATGGCTTAGGATTTCTTGCTTGTACCTGCTAAAGTCCAGAAAATCCAAGCCCTGCGTCATCTCCGCGGGCCATTGCTTTTCTCACATTCTTACAACAAGCTGGGCCAGCGTAAGTAAGGCTGGCACTACCCAAGCCCATGTTTATGCAGCTGTCAGCAGCCGCTGGGTTGACAGAATCGCACAGATCTGTCCATTGAAGAACCACGAAAGGAAACAAAAGGCAGTGCAAACAACTATCGTGGGGAAACTGCCGAGAACATTGCTAGGTCTTATCGCTGATCGATATTGCTCTATAGCCTACACAGGAGATACTGTCAATGAGTGCTTGTCGCTCAGAGCACTGTGGAAAAGTCTAGTAGCTAGAGACTTCTCTAGTCGCTAGGCTGACTCGCTCTAATCATCCCATCCAGAAGCTCACCGCGCAGAGACGGTTCAGACATACCGTTACAAAACCCCTCAAAAGCGCATCTACCATCGGTTTCTCAGGTCACCGTGTGATCGGCAACTCAAGATCAAGCATGGCTGGACCGGGCTTCGCGATCACTGATGCCAAATGTCAGTAAGACATCCGACCAGGTCACACCTTGCCATGCTTCCAAGTATCTATGGTAACGATTCAGTTCGGCCGTATTCGAATTTTCTTCTCTCCTACAACAGGGGGCCATTGAACCCTCGGCTACCGTGTGAGAGACTACCCCATAACTATCATTGTGTCGATCCGATACGACTCGGTAAGAGTTCCACAGGGATCGAAAGCGAATCTAAGCCATTGGTGCCAGCTACGAGGAGCAAGATGTGTTTATCCTACTTCTCAAAGATGGTTCAGATGGCCCAATGCAACAAGAAGACACTAGATCGCCTCTTTCTGCAACACATTGCGCGGCTCGTTCACGGTCGTCGTCGAGAAACTCCCGTCGAACATCCTCATTAACATTGATACTATACGCCATGAAGGAATTGTTCTAGACTGCGAAAGACAGATCACCACTATACGTTCATGCTGCGATTTCGTCTTTCCCATCCAAACCGTCGTTGCACCAAACCGTACTGCCACGGCCCTACTCAAATGGCGGTGCTTATGCATACGCAGGTGTGACCTGTGCAGTTCAGAAATATGCTGGGGAGAAAGTCATAGAATGTCTCACGTATGGCCTTGAATAGAGCTAATTTTGCTAGAGACCATGTTTGCATAATCGCTAGTTCTCGTGGGTATGGTGGGATCTTGCCGAGTCATGGCAGCACAGAGCTTATTCCATTCCGTTCCAATAATCTAACACCAATGCGCTACCTCCTTCGGGCCACGCTGCGGCAACCTTGACCTGCGACCCGCTATAGTTTCGATGGCCAGAAGAATCAATGATGCCAAGGGCGCAGAAGCTGAGGCTGTGATAGCTCCAACAATTCAATTCTGACGGAGCAGAGTCGGGCGTTGGCCAATAAAAGTAGTATTAGGCCTGTCTATCAGACCAGACGACGGGAGACGCAGAGGAAGTATACAAGTACGCTGCAGTTCACATGGAACGCTACTACGATTAACGTCACAAGTCAGTGGAAATCCAGAGAACTCGTTCGATTACCTGAGACTGCACAAGGGTATACCCTGCTGACCTCGCGCATGCGGTTCATCAAGGACAAATTCGATCACCAGTACGGAAGCAGACACAACAAGCAATCCTAGCAGGCACTCGGAGATTGTGCCACTTAGTTTCACCGGGTCAAGTTCGCGCGCTAGAAGAAACAGCAGCGTGGAAGTTGATCGCCTTTGTTCACTCAATACCTACAACTATCCCAAGCGGCTACGATAATCGCAGCTACAAGTACACCGTTATCAGCAGCATTACATGGCGGGGAACGACCGCCAACACTCGATATCACCAAATCACATCCAGCCCTAAAAGGTGATTCTGGTAAGCGACATTCGAAAGCGGAGCTTTCAAGTGCACCGATATACAGGCTACCCACAAAGAATGTAGACGGCCTGGACACTCCAGATAGGTTACTCGATTCAATCGAAAAAGAAGTCGTGAAGCATTCGCAATCTCCCCTTATGACAGTCGCATTGGATAGAAGTGTGGGACGATTGCCTGAAGATCAAGAGAATGAGTTAGCACCGGCGAAACTCATCCGAAGATTTGAATGGTGCACCAGTAACTACTGTACGCGACAATGCAACTCGATATCCTCTGAATAAGTATGTTTCCCTTTCATGGTCCGGTCCTTCTTAGATTCCTCACCACCGAGAACACTGATTGACTTATCCCAATCAGGCATCGGTCACACTCTCGGAATGCATCCAACTTCCGTATGCCCGCGTGCATGCCCTCAGCTATAGGCCCTCGTCCTTCCGGAATACCATTCCAGACCCGAGAGTGACTTCTATCCTCTAATCCACTCGATCTCATTCTCATCATGCAGCCATACTCTCTCTGACAGAAGAACCACACAAGCAAAGAGCCTAAAATCTCAACATTCTCCTGATGATCTTGGTTTTCCGAAGGGGAATAAGAAAGAACAGGACAGATGGATATCATCCATCTATCTCACAAAGCTTGCCCTCCTAGACTCCAGACTCCAAACTCCAACCGGATAAGGCAAGCCGTGTGGGTGCGTGCAAGCCTTGCGCCTGCTGCGCCCGTCGCGCCTGAGCCTCCCCCCGTCGCGGTCGTTCCTGCCGCCGCCGCCATTCTCCCACCTCCGCGTGGCCACTTATACCCGCGGGGGGGCGGGTTCAACAGTTGACCATGGTCAACATTGTAGCGGTCCCCGCGGTCCCCGGCCCCATGAATCCTGGACGCCCCCCGCCTCCAGCGGGCACACCGGGAGGGTATTCGCGACTGTATTAGTGGGGAAATTGGCCGGCGGTGCAACAACTGTCTGCACGCGGCTGGCAAGCACTGCTTTTTTGCGTAGAAGTGGTTCGCAGAATGTACCTTTGTTTTTCTCTGGCTTTTTCTTGATTTCTAATCAAGTTTTATATGCCCCCGCGACAACAAAGAATGCGGAGATCGAGCCGACGCGCTCTTCCAGACATCCCCTTAGAGCAAGATTCCGGTTACCTCTTGTCCTGTTTCCAGTCAAAAGCGGACGAGACACAGTACGTCAGATCCACTCCCTCCCCTGCGTCCCCCGCACCAGGCGTGGCAATTCGTGGTATTCCAAGTGGTAAAAACCATGTGGGATCTTTCAGAGAAGTGGGAGGTGAAGCTTTGGGGACTGTTGATATCATTACATGGTCTTTGGAAAATTCAAGCTGTTCGGATATGATATTGAAATCAAGAAACTTTCGAATTATGCCACTAAAGCTTGGAATTCAGATCACAAGGAAAATCTATATCAATGGCATCCTCGATGGAGGCACCAGCGAGCAATGCTAGAGTCCTACTTTTATTTGCTACCCTCACACACAAGAAATACAATAGAGAGAACGAAACGGCTGCAACATTAATTGGTAGAAGTAGAAATAAGTAAGTTAAGCCCTATCAAGCCTTCGTAGTCGGGACGGGACCAAATCCCATCTTGTCTTGTCCTTTTCCCCCTTTCCTTTCGTCTAACCCAGTCCAACACGCAGTTCGGTTTCAACCGCCAGGCCCCTTCCAAATCCATATCTGTATCCGTATCCATATCCATATCCGATCCATGATCCATAATCCATGACCATATCCCATACTCATATCAGTATCCCAAGCCCCATCAACGGATCGAATCCCGGTCTACCAGTGACTCAGGAAGCAAAAAACCCGACCACCATTCAACGAAAACCGAGAAAAAAGGAGAAAACAAACATATGGCGCACGAAGCCTCTATGTCAAAATCAAGTATCGTACCCAAGACCCCCACCGACGCTCTCACCAACCACCCGAAGGATAGTGTTGAATAAAATCCTCTGTGCTTTTCCTCCCACTCTTGACAAGTCGAGTGCGTCGAGAACGGTCGAATTTTGATTTTTGGAAACGCGCAGAGATGAATCGTCGCTTTGTGAATCGAAAATTTTTGGCAAAAATGCTTGATGTATGTACAGTAAAAAAAAGAGGTGGTAGTAGCTAGGATACTAGCTGCTGGTTTCTATATTAGAAAAGGCGGATGCATTAGAATGGGGTCGCAAGAATTGGTTACTGTCGAGTTGTTGTTCTGGGTGAGATTGAGAAGGTAGCAGTTGATCTTCCGGTCACGCCTCTTGGGCCCAGCGACGCTCACGGAGTGGCATCTCTTCCTGAGCCTGGACCCGAGATCCGTCCGTCTCGCGACGCCAGGCGTAGTATTCTCCGAGGCGGACCTCGGCGTAGGAGGCGTAGTCAAAGTCGATCTGGGATATTTGGGCTTGGATGAGGGACCAGATTCCCCTGTAAACGTGTGATAAGTGGTCAGTGTTGATCATGAAAGAATGCGACAATTGTCAACTCTAGGTCAGACATACCAGTATAGACCGGGGATTCCGCGGAATCGATCGACATCCTCGTAGAGGCGGTCGACGATCTCTGGCTGGAATGATTCAGGGATCCCCTTGTGGTACCTGTAGCTCTTAACATACTCGGTCAGGAACTGGCGCCGGACGGACCGCGTCGGCATCATGTTGTAGTCGCAGTCATAGCCACCCCATTCAGCGAAGTGATTCGCGATGTCGAAAGCAGCTGGGGAGGGGGTAGCATATTCGTAGTCGATGAAGTTGACCGTGGCGGGTTCTTGATCTCCGGTGGTGACAGCGTGCCCGTTTTGCTTTTGTTGTTCCGTGGGAAGGACAATAACGTTGGCGCAGAGGAGATCGCAGTGGGAGAAGACCAGCTGGTGGGAAGAAGCAATTAGAGAAAGAACAACAGATATCCGTGATCATGATTCTACGTACGCCGCCTTCACCAAGTCCCTTGCCATCGTCAAGCTCACGCACGACCCGTTCAAGCTCCTTCTGCAGACTCAGTCTCCGCTGGCGCTGCTCCTCCGTTGCCGTGGGCAAAGCAAGGATCCATTTCTGGGTGACGGTCCAGATATTGGGTCCGGGCTGCCTGGTCTTCACCACAGACAAGCTACCTTCCTGCTGGGACTGTTGCTGGTGATCTTTCAAGTCGACGTCTACTTGTCGCGTGAGGGGTACATCGTCAGATTCCTTCAACGTCGCAGACGTCCCACAGACGGGCAGAACGGCATGCCACTGCGCCAGTCGTCTGGCAACACCGCCCCATACTGGCGGCGTCGCCAGATCCTCGTGGGTCGCTGGCCGACCGCGGAGGAAACGATACAGAAGGCCGTTTTTGAAGCGTGCCAAAAGCGGAGGAGCTAGGCCATAACTAGCGAGGAGAGCGTGGGAGCTCGTTTCTCCTATAGATTCGAAATTCTACTCAGCAAAGGTGTCGCAATGGGCAAGAAGGGAGGAAGAGAAAGGGGGGTCGCTTCTGGAGTAGTCCCCTTTCCCCGGTGTAGCATACTTTCGCGGTCTATAAGAATCTCTGTGTGGTTACCGTACGCTCTCATCAGTACTGCATCGTGATCTATCTGCTCCTCGGTTAAACCGGGTTTGCGGTTGATGATTTTAAGAAGCTAGAACCTTCACGTTAGTCCATGGCACTCAACGTGGATCATTTCAAGCCCCGTCGCATCTGCGAGAGGAGCATGATGTTGCGAGAAACACACAGTATTGGTGATGCCGTCCGTGAACCGCACGAATTCAATCTTGTTTTCTGGTCCCTCCCAATCAGGGTTGAGTGTGAGGATGAGCCGCAACGCGGATGCGTGAGAGTCGGCATGGTTATAGGATAGGGGGATATAGCGCAGGGCCGTCCCGTTCTGCTGGCACAGAGTCATGGCGATTGAGGAAAAGTTCAAAAGAAAAAGGAGCGAGGGGGATAAGAAAACGAGGTAGTGAAAGTGAAAGGAAGGTGGTCAGGGGCGTATGCGACAGGACGACCGTAAGGTTGCTGATATTAGTATTCTATGTAACTTCAAAGCGCATGTCAGTAAAGGCCCGATAGAGTATTGTAGAGGTCGTGGTTTGTGTTGTCAAGTGTTCATGCTATAGAATAGAATAGGGACACCGGGATACATATAGGGACTTCCGTACCAATCAGCCAAGCCCGGGAGAGCGGGTCTTGGGGGAATTTCTCCTGATACTGAGTAGATAAGTTGAACGATCTCGTCGGCCCACGCAAGGGTCAGGAGTATGAATTGACCGGCAATCGATACTCTAGAAGCGAGCAAGTGCGGGTGGAAGCAAAGATGCAGCAAGACCAAAGAGGGAGTGGCCACGAGGGTGTGGTTGGGTTTAAGGATTAACGGCAAAGGTAGAGGAAAAGAAGGAGAAGGGGAAGTTCAAAGTGGATGAGCGTTGCTGGTCTCGTGCCCAGCTTGCCACTGATTGGTTTTTGGCGGCGGGCCCTGAACGCCCCTCCTTTTTTTCCGCTCGACGCTTTAAGCCTGAGGCCCAAAGGCGACCAGCCACTGCTCCTCCTGGACCATGTGCAATGACGCAGTAAGATGAGGGGCAAATGGGTTCTCGAGACAGTATGTCTGTAATCCTTGCGCGACAACAGGCAACAGAGTATAACTCAAGCTGTAATCCAGACCTTCCCTTCAAATGTCTGCCAGTATCACGGAGGATGGAAGTGATACAAGTGTAAATTGAAGTGCTGTACACGTACAGCAGCAGGTTGCGCATTGATGTAACTGATCTAAGCCGCTTCCGGTCTCGCCTTCTCAACAACCAAAGCAGATTTAGCATGTGATTCTGCCTCCCACTTCGGATCACGTGAGGTCCTCCAAACATGCATCACGTGTCTATTATCTACCCCAGCCCTAACCTCAACTATTCTCGGTAATCCACTAGTCCCGACTCCAGTTAGTGGCTCCACCGCCGCGGACTACATAAACCCGCTGCTGCCCGCCGCGACTTTGATAGATTTTCTTTCTTTTTTTCTTCATCATCAGTAGCGGTTTACTTACTTTATGTTATGTAAATCTTATCGGGGCTCCGTCACCGTACGGCTTGCTGAGGGTTACCTTGTGTGGGATTTTTCTCTATGGGTCTCTCCTCCGTTCCCGGCCTTGAAGAGCAACAACGCATTCCTTTTTCCCTTACAAACTATGGCTTAGCTAGGGTTTCTGCTCGCAAGAATAGATCCCCATGCGCATAAGCTGTGGAGGAGGCGTGACATTCCAATTTTCTTTCAAGCACTTTTATGTTGGGTGCTTGAGGATCTGTAATTGTAAATCAATTTGTTGCATGGTGCAGAGCGTTCGACAAGTGTTGCGCGTCTGCAATGTATGCCTGGAAAGAGGAGACTCTTCTCTCGGCACCATAGGCGGCTTGCCTAGTTGATGGTCTCGTTGGTGTCCTTACACTTTCGCCTTGGCCTTCACGGAACATATACCCTTGACACCACATCAGCTACGGCATTATGCATGTTGTATGTGCGGCTGTCATGTTTGCACAAAGCAATCATTTCATTTCCATACTACATGTGCTTTCTTATGCCATTATATGTCGATTCATCGGTTCTTACCCTGTGATGGTATATTATATTTTCATAATCCGTGCCGTCCCCCCATAATGCTCAAGCCCTGCCAGCCTTGCCGACCTGGATGCGCTCTCCAGTCCATTTATCGTCGCTGCGCAGCACCGGCCAGCTGGTGCCGTCCGCCTTGATCAGGGTCAGTTCCAGCTTCGTCCCCATGACACGGAACTGGGACTTCTCGGGATCGATGGGCGCAAACAACTGATAGGTATCCTTGTACCGCTTGTTATCCGTCGTAGGAAGATCCAACTCCAAGGATGTGGCGGTGAACTGGACCTTAGCGTTCTCTTTGTCGATCTTCTTCAGGTAGAGAGAGACGTTGACGGAGGATGGCGTCTGGTAGAAGTCGTTTCTGTAGGGACGAAGATATGTCAGCTCTGCGGTTCCGCTCACGCAAACTGTTCCGGTCCCGGGGTAGCGAGGTAGCGGTCACTTACCTGACAGTGTCTACCTTCTCCTCGCCCGGGGGCTTGCCCTTTCCAACGAACAGATGCTTCGTCTTCTCCGTGCAGCCCTGGATCTTCAGGAACTCATCGAACTCGAGCACCCGCTTCTTACAGCAGGACCATCCCTTGCTGCCCTCGTGGAAGATAGGTGCGCCGGGGTGGAAGACGCATTTCTCGTCCTCGCGCGCCACGGCAGAATCATATCCCTTGTTGCAGCCTTTCCGACGGCAGGTGGCGTTGGTCGGGATCTCGAGATCGGGGTCGTCGGACTCGGGCTCTTCGGGAACGGGAGTAGGCGCATTGGAAGGAGGGGCAATGGCGGGCGAGATGGCATGGCGGGGAGGCTCCGCCACCGGCGTCGAGGCCGGGGCTAAAGGAGCTTCTTCGACGACAGGTTGCGGGGCAGGCTGAGGAGTATCGTCGACGGTGGAGTGTTTGCCCGTGGTGCACGGGGGGATGGCGAGGAATTCATCGAAGGTGAGAACGCGGGGCTTGCAGCATTTCCAGCCTGGGTTGTTGCATAGTGGTTAGTCCTGCGGTGCGCCTGAGAGGTCGAGATCGAGTCTCCAAAGTATAAGACCGGAGGATAATGAACGCCTCAAGCCAAGCGAGTTCAAAAATCATCCACAAGGTCCCTGGAGATCATACCTTTTTGACCTTCGTGGAACACTGGCGGGCCGGGATGGTAAACGCAGGGCTCTTCGGCGTCGGTAAACTCCTTCCCGCAGCCCTTGTGAACACACTTGGAGGCCATGATTGTGAATGGAAATATATAACGGGGGGACTGAGAGAGAACCAGCTGCCTTGGCTTCGAGATGGGAGAAATAAGTCTGCTTCCCTCACCGTGAGGAGAAATGCGAGTTTGTCGCATCGAAGCGCGCAGAACCGCAGCAGGAGGGCTGGCCCAAATAGGCTTAGCCCGGGAAGCTCGAAGGTTCCATTGTTCATCCCCAACTTCCGCCCGTTGTCCGCACCCGCTTCTCCTCCGTATACTTCCTCTCTCAGCTTTCCTTGTTTGTTAGATTCTTGGTAGCTTCTGCGTCAATCATGTTTCCTACTGCCATTCGTCTCTCCAACGCTGTGCGCGTCACTCTCTTTACCCGTGCTGGCTGCGGGCTCTGCGACACAGCCAAACATACCGTGACGCAATTGCACAAGCGACGTCCCTTCGAGTATACCGAGGCGGACATTGCTCTTCCCACCAACAAGCCTTGGAAGGATGTTTACGACTTTGACGTTCCAGTTCTGCATGTGCAGACTGTGAAGGGAGATGCGTCTCTCTCCGATCCGAAGAAGCTTTTCCACCGATGGACCGAGCAGGAGATGGAGACGCTGATTTCCGAGGCGGAGAACAAGCAGTCGTAGATGCATCAATTCCACTCAGCTATGCTGGCAACTTTGCATCATGACAAGCGATGATACTACCGGTCATGGCTACTTCATCAATCATTGCATGATATCAGCAGGATCGCGCAGCACCCTTGATCTCAACCAATGGCACGAGAAGTGAGCCGAGCCATTCTTCAGGCAACTAGAGAACTACAGATCTCGTTGTCGTCGCATTGTCCTGGATCATATCGGATGTAATGCCTGGGCTGCAGTCTTAGCTTTGCCTTTGCGAAAATGTCTGACACCGGACAGCCTTGTGGATATTCCACACGATTGCGCTGAGGAGACGGTGGGCAGTTGTTCATCAGTGCTGTCGGCCATACTCGAATGTCAAATCGATCTGAGACCTAAGTCCGTTACTTGGCGCGTACCCCATTCAGGATGAACATTGTCGCAGGTGATTTTCCTGTCAGGGTGGTGCAACCTGGTATACTCGCGCCGTGGTCGGCGGTCTTCTCTTCAGCCTCAGGAGCCCTACATCCTCTACCTTGTTTGGCACATTGCCCTACAAGTATAGCTTATACCAGCAAGAGCATCAAGAGTCTCAGTTTCACCGCGTGGCAATCCCCGACGTAGAACAATGTATTCTCCAAATCGCATAGCAACACCACCACCACAAGCTCACCATATACACTTAACACCCATACCCTTACCCCTATCCCCTCCCGCAAGAACGACAAATCAACCAGAACACCCATGACTCCCCTCCGTCGCCGGATCCGTACAACCCCCGGCACACAGCTGCGCATGTCCCACATCCCCTGGATTCTTGCAATGGAACAATATATCCGCTAGATCATCATTCTCCAGCCCCGTCCCCTGCAGTGCCGTCTTGAGGTCATTCTCCGTGAATCCTGCACCCCCCCAGAGCGTTAGCGTCTTCACCCATCCACAGCATCCCACAGCTCCCCTTCCCGCCCACGAACAGAGCCGCAGCCGAAAAGCAACCCACCACAAGATGCAGTAGGCAAGCACCCCTCCTACCGCAGAGATAAGGTCAGAAAGGGGGGAAAACTAACCCTTCGAACTCAACAGCTTATTGGCGCAGTAATCGAAACTCGGGGTACAGGTTTTATCGGCGAGGGTGCCGGTGGCTAAGGCGAGGAGGCCAGTGAGGAGGAGGGTTGTTGTTGGCTTCATTTTGAGAGATCCACCCAACTTTCAAAGCAAGATTGAGTGAGGTCTTGGATGGGTGTCTTGTGGTAGATGAACGGTATTAACAAAGCAGAGAAGAAGACTCCAGCACCCTCTCACTTGTTTGAACTACGCCGGGGGCTGGGGGAAGGTCGTCGGTTATGTAGACGTTTTGAGCTGGTTGGTTTCTGGTCGGTTTCTGGGTGGTTTCGTGGGGAAACAGGGGAAACAGTGGAAAAATGCATTCTTTGTGATGTCGGTAGGACGGTCTATTCACTACGTATCTCCAAGGCAGAGACAGACAGGACAAGTGGAATGCGGAGGAAAGGGGAACGACTGGAATGCGCCGGTCCGGGAAATGGTATGCACATACTATGAGTATTTACATGTCGTGTTTACGTAGGTCCTGGACCTGCCTGGTAGCTGGCTAGTCTTTAGGATCTGGATTCTAGGCATCGATGGTCTCATTCTTCGGGGATTATGCCGTCAGCGTCAGCTTTGGAGAGATATGGGGGCGAAGGAGGAGAGCAGCTGGCCATATATTAGAGGGCAGGCGTGCGGCCATTCCATGTGGCGCGCCTGGATTTCACACCACACATCTCCTAGGAAAGATATCAACCTCTCAAATAACAGACATTACTATATATATTATCACTATGGGCTGGTAAGTTACCTCTCCGACACCGAGAGACCAAAGCAGCCAGGCTCTGGTTACCGCCAGAGCTAGGTAGGTACAATCCGTCCCATTCACAGGAAGACCATTCCGTGCAGCCACTCCCCCCCTGTGAACCGAACCTGAACAAAACGAGTGTATAGCCATGGAACCCAACATGCCAGACCCCAGACCGCATCCAATCGAACCCATCGAGAAAGCAATGTACACGTCAAAAGAATTACATCAGGCATTATGAAGCTCAAACGGAGCTACTCTGCAAATAAAAAAAAGGCATGAGCCGGATCCAGCGGGCAACAGAGAAACGAAATCAGAGACAAACATGTCTCAGGTCAGAACTGGAGGGTGCGCAATGTCGAATCGCGAAGAGATTGGCTTTTCTCGTTTCCGCATCTAGACCTCGTGCGTCCGCGTTCACGGTGACGGGAATGACTGCCATCCACAGAAACCTCATCGCATCCATACCAGCAGGACTAGAACCACATGACACCAGCGACTATTGCAAGCACAATGGCCATACAGCTGCCACTGCGCACCCGCTCCGGTTCAGCTTGATGTTCAACAACCTTGGACTGCTCCATAGCAGTCAACGTCGCGGTCAGAGGGGTAGTGACCTGCACTGACGCATCAATTGGTTGGGTTAGTGCAGACGGATTTTGCGCATCAGCCTGCTGGTGGGTCTCGTCTATTGTCAATGCTGGGGGCACGGCATGTTTCGTATGAGATTCGTTCCGCGGATCTCGAGGCTGAGAGGAACCATCCGAGTTCAATAGTCCCAAGCAATTAGTATAAGTTGTTGCGACGGTATTTCGGAGTCCCTGGCGGCCTGTGACGGTTCCTATATAGTCGTTACCAACACGGCAGGCCTGCTGCCATGAGGTCAGAACACATGATAAGAACCACCAGGGCAATGCAACAAGTTTTGTCGTGTCGAATATCGTACGACCTCCTCCTTCACCAGTTGTCAATAGGTGAAAATCCTCGTTATGCGAAGGTGCCAGGTTGACCGAGGTATTTGCGTGGTGCGGATTAGGCTGCGGTGATATTTGATCCGTCAAAGAGGCGTCGCTGTCAGAAGGAAAGGAAGGCATGACTTGCGGCTCGTCTGTTTGCCGGCTAACCAATGCCTTAAAGGCACGTACACCACGCCTGAAGGTCGACGGCTCTTGTGCCATATATGTTATTGGATCACTATCGAGGATCGCCGCCGCTTCAAATGAGCTTCGGGCAGGCGCATCCGTGAGCGGACGTCGTGGCCGGGATTTCCGATCGAGGTACGTTGGACGATCTTCCTCCGATGACCACGGCCTTGGTTGTGCACCCACCGTTCGTAATCGTGGTCGCGCATCGACCAAGCCATCCTTATCCCGGGAAACATCTGCAAGAGTGCAATCGGAAGAGATTAGTCTGAGTACTGCGACAAGCGATGAAGCGAAAGGAGGAAGGCCCACGCTCATACATTGAGGTTCGCTGCGGAGATAGCCAATGTGCCCGAAAGGCAAAAGATAGTCCCATTCCTTCGCCAACGACGGTACCAGACTCAGCAACGAAAAGATCAAGAGAGCGAGAAACGGAATGGTCCCAGGCTTTTGGAGACCCGACCGCATCATACACAGCTCGGCGACCTGTGGGCGCAGGCCTGACTTTCTTTATCCACGAAGACTCGATGTCTGATAGTATAGTCGGTGGGAATCTCGCGTGATTTGGATATTCCGCAATCCGGCAGCTTCATCGCCGAAGAAAGACAAGCAACAGAGAGGATCAGAAGCGAAAAGAAAAAAATGATAATCAGGTGGACAGGTTCACAATTGTCGCGCAAGGTCCGGGCGGATACTTTCAATGTATATGGAGTGTGACCTCGTCGGTGGTGTCCGAATCCTCTTTTCTTTGGCGGACTTGCGTCTAAATTGGAATCTCTGCGGGTCTCAGGGTCTTGCGCGGCTGACGGCGGTTTGATGGGATGCTGGTTTCCCCTCTTCGTTTCTTGGGCGATGGATACTGTCGATCAATCGGGGCGGTCGGACGGTCGGTGAGCGAAGTGCGCGTCCTGAGATTGATGAACAGAGCACAAACACCGCTGCTGCAGGGGAGAAGAACAACGAGGAGAGGGTTTGATGTGCAAAATTGCCAACAAAAGGCCGTCCGGTCACTTCCACAGGTCTTCCTCAAGCTACCGGAGGTGCAGGAGTCAAGCAACGCAATGACGTAGAAGACCACCGGGTCGTAACGTAAAATCGAGCTCGTCGGGTTCGCAAGCGGATGTTGCCAAGTCGGACTATGAGAGAGGGGCTGTCTTACTGTACCTAACGTAAGCGAGGGTCCATGATCTTGTCTGTGCTTGAAAGTGTTGGAAGTGCTTTGGAAGATGTCATTACCGGTTTGGCCTGTGACTAATTGATATGTGACGCTGAGAGGACTGACATCTTGTGTTCCTATGGGAAAGGGGAATGATAACGTCAAAATTGAGGAGGAAACGGATGATTGCTCCAGGCAGACATTTTAAAGGTTGTATGGAAGAGAAATTCGGACGTCACGACTGGCCAATTCTCCTCCCTCCCTCCAAACATGTGCAAACACCCGCAAACTTTTAAGGGGTCTGGTCGCCTCAGGCAGAATTTCTGCTGTCGCTTGAAGCTTCCACCCTGAGCTACATACTCCGTACTGCTATGGTATATCCACTGCACATTCATCCCGAGAAATTTGCTTCATACACGCCATTTAGCGAAACCTATAGACAAAGAAATGAATCACGTAGCGTAACAGCAGATAGCCCCCCCTAATACCGATCGGATCTAAACCAACACATGGAACAAGTATATACAGATCATGAGTAGGTATACAACAAGAACCCGAGAGGTCCAAGTTTAACAAAACGGAAATTAGATGGGGTTGACCATAGTTGGATCAGGCACGGCAGGCGGCAGAGATTCAGCGCTCGTCGGTTTCATCGAAGGTGCGGCTCGAGAAAAGGCCGTCGTTCGAGAAGACGGCGTTCGGGATCCGTCACTTCGGGACTGTTCATCTCTGGGGGTCTCAGCGACAGTCGTACTGCCTGCTGTGCTCGCCTTTCTTACACGTTTGACCATCTTGCCTAGTATCCCAACGATTTCAGCGGCATCCTCAAAGCTCTCATCATCCATAGCCTCCTTCGCATTGTACACGTCCGCTATGGCCTTTTTCGCTACTCGTCGACAGGCCAGTGGGTCATGGAGGCAGTCATAGAGGTATGCGGCATACTCGAGCTTGATCGATAGCCGGAGAGGATGCGAACCCGGAAGAACGCTTTCCGCCAATAGTACCGCATATTCGAAGCATTGCGTAGCCGTCTTCGTGTAATCAAGCGCCGGTAGAAGGAAAGCCGAGATTGACTTAGGCGGCTGAACTGGGGCGAGGCCTGGAGGAGCCTGTGTGAATCTGCGCCGCAGCGCACTCTCTGGGGCTGCAGCCGATGCATCGGAGACTGAAATCGTTTCGGATCTTGGCTGGAACGAGTACCTCAATTCCGGTGGCTTATTTGCTAGATCTGCCTTTGCAGCGCTGTTGGCGAAGGTTGCATTGTTCGGCAGATTGTCGATACCCGGTGCATGGATCGCAGGTTGGTTGTGGAACAATACAAAAATGTGATAGAAAGAAGCCCTCAGCTTGTAAGCGAGAATATTCAGTTCCACATACACCTGTACATGCGGAAGAACGCATTGCTCAAGGATGAGAAGACCTTCGCGAGCAAGCCATACGATGTGGTAGTAGAGCTGAAGTGACTTGGTTTCTCGGGTCGGATCGAGACGTCGTAAGCGTCGTGCACGGAGCAATTTCTTGGAAAGCATGACCGACAAGCCCAGTTGCTTGTAGAGCATTGCGGACAGAAACGGGTTCTCCAGGCTTGTTGTGGCCGCAAAGTTGCCCAAGGCCTTCTGGTCCACCTCGGAGGAAGCCATCCACAAAACCAATGACCCGGTGTCTATCGGAAGGCTTGCGCCAGCCGTGTTAGCTACATCCATATTCAAGTGATTGATTTGACATGTATGGTTGAGGAAAACCGCAGGAACGTGAATTGGTCAAGCCGTGATAGATCACGTCGTAAACACTAATTAAGTCCACCAAGGTCGCCATGCATTCATGCATGAACGCTCAAATGCGGTTGCATGTGGCAAAGACAAAGCGAGGAAAGCGCCAATGCTTACCTAGACTGCGCGCGCAACGAATATATTCAGGGCAGACTAATCTCTGCAAATGCTGCAGCTGCTCATGCTCGTGCCCGGCGCTTGAAATGGAAATCGGCTCGCTCGACTTATCCGGCTAAATTAGTGATGGCGGGAATCTTCACGCTTCGACGTTTGGCTTTATGTCTGTGTTCCCAAGTCGTGCGTTTATCTCAATATGCAGCCCTAGATGAGGGATCGGTGTGCGATTCGTCCGAATCGAGTAGCTGAAAGCAAACTG